GCTCCCACCCTGCACGCAGACGCCCTGGAACCAGGCCGGGAAGGCCAGGCGCAGGCACAGCCAGCCACCCCCCTCGCCACCAGCCGGTCCAGGTAGGGCCAAGCAACAGCCACCCCGCCTCGGCCGGCCACGCCAGGGAGGAGGTCAGCGCTGCCCACCCAGGAGACCAGGTGTCCAGCCAGCTCTCCAAAGGAAGGAGGCAGCCGCACCGTCTCGCTGGGAAGCATCCTACCTCCAGGAAACACACCTGAGGACTTGCCGTCTGCAGTGGTAGCACGCTCCTGCCCAGGGCAGGGAGCATCCCAACAGCCACCCCGCCTCGGCCGGCCACGCCAGGGAGGAGGTCAGCGCTGCCCACCCAGGAGACCAGGTGTCCAGCCAGCTCTCCAAAGGAAGGAGGCAGCCGCACCGTCTCGCTGGGAAGCATCCTACCTCCAGGAAACACACCTGAGGACTTGCCGTCTGCAGTGGTAGCACGCTCCTGCCCAGGGCAGGGAGCATCCTGTAAGCAGAGGGTGGAAGAAGCTGGATTCCCACCCCAGGGAGCCTCCCATGGGGACCTAGCTGTGGCCAGCAGACCCAGAAGATGAGCTTAACGTCCGTCCTCCCTCCCCCTCCAAGGGGGGGAAGGCAAAAGCACTGTGCTCCCTGCACAACATCCGCTCACCAAAGCCGCGAGCAAGGGTGTGCTGCTTGTCCCCAGCCTCCTCTCACCCATCTCGCCTGCTGGCTTTACACAGCTCTGCGGGACACAAGCATTCAAGCCTGCCTGCCGGCCAACAGGGAGACACTGGGTTACCCAGCACCGGGGGGTTTCCAAGGCTCAAGGAAGCAGGATGAAGACAGCCGCGGGTAGCCAAGCGCAGCTCTGCTCGGCAGGCAGTGCCGCAAACAGCCCTCATGCCATCAGGTTGCTTCCCAGCCTCGCTCCCTGGTCCCATCCACCTGCCAGGCCGCCACAGCTCTCGCCTGGCTTGCCCAGGGCTGCTCCTCTCACTGCAAAACAAGGGGGAAAAACGGAAAAGGGAAATGGTTTTCTACCCAAGCCAGTTGCTAAAGACAGAAGTAGCGCACGGACGGAGAGAGAGAGCAGGCTCCCTGCTTGCCAGTGTCCTTTTGGAGGGGAGCTACAGGATCCTGGGAGCTCCCTCCCGCAGGTAAGAGCGTCAAAGAGAAGACTCTCACAGAGGAGGGATGAGAGTTACAGAGCAGTCCTGGGGCAGGCCTTCCCACATCAGAAAGGATTTCTCCCAGAAACACCCCCAGGCTGTCCCCCTCCTCCCCTGTCAGATCCTGGCTAGCGCAAAGGACGGACGACACTTCTCTCCCCCCCTCCCCACGCGCCTCGAAGCGAGTCAGCCCGCCCGCAGCCAGAGGCGGGCAGGGCAAACAACCGCGCATGCAGCAACATGCTCAGAAGAATGTGTTACCCCACTGGGCAAGGGGCCTGCCAGGAACATGCAAACACGACCAGTGACCCACCCTTCTAGGTCGGAAAAACTCGTCTTTGCAGTTCGACACGCTCCCTCCCGCCGATCGCGGCAACCCACATGCACAAGCTGCCCGGCTGGAGCAGCGCCACTGCCTCCCCCTTCCTACGGGGCCAGCAGGAGAGGTACTGAGAGCGCTGGAGGGGAAGCAGCGGAGAGATCCTGGAGCTATCCTCGGACAAGATCAGCCAGAGCACCACGTGAGACAGGGGTGAGAGGAAAACTCAGCTGAGGACAGAGAGACACCTTCCTCCTCCTGGCCAGGGTGGGAATCAGTTCTCCATATTCATCTACTCTGAGGCTATCCAACTCCTACACTAGGCCGCTCCACTCCCGAGAGGGAGCCCATCCCCCTCGCTCGCCCCAGGTAATCGCTCTCCTACCGAGGAGGTGCTCGTGCTGTTGCAAAAGCTGCACGAAACAGGAGAGCAACTCGCCTTGCTGCCTCCTTCCCCTCCCGTGTCCCAGCCGCCTTCCACCCCACCCCTGGGATCACACAGGCAACCCTTGCCTGCGCTCCCCACTCTCAAGGAAGTGGGGAACGCAGGTAAGACCCACGGAGCTTCCAGCTTTCTCTTGCTCAAGATGGGCCGGCAGCAGGAAACCAGTGAACTTTGAGCAGCGTTTGTTATAATTGAGGCCAACGCCCAGAGGAATAGGAGCAGTCGGGGTTGGGATGGAGACATGATAACAGCTCCTGCCCTTGCATGCGTGAACCCAGCAAACTGCCTCCGCCAAAGCCAACCCAGCCAGCGCCCGGTCCGGAACAGCAAGCCCTTGTACCAGTCCTGGAGTCGCAGCCATTTTAAGCTGGTGCTCAAGAGCTGCGCTGCCCCTCCAGCCGGACTGTAGGTTAGTTGTTCTCAGAGCATGCTCACTCCCATCTGCTCACCCAGCCCCTCAGGCCTCTGCCCCAGCACCTGCCCTCCCCAAGACCTGGCCTGGCTAATCTGCGGCTCCCAGTGCAGCTCCTCGCTATGCGATCAGCAGCAGGGCTGAGCGGGCACGTGACAGTGAGCAAGCCGTGTCCTGGCAGCAGGAGAAGCCATCAGAGAGGTCAGCTCCAGTCCCCACACCAGGGCACAGAGCAGCTACCAGAACTGCTTTCAGAGCTGCCTGTTCCCCCTGCTCCAGAAGGCTCACATGTAACTCCCAGCCCGGCACAGCTTGGGCTGGTCACACCCGGCCTGGACGACCCCTCAGGACTGTTTTGCTAAACATCAGAGGCCAGAGGCAGGATGCTCGTGTGCCTACCAGCTGCGCCGACAGCATTTCTCCAGCCCCAAAGGCACCCCTGCTTTCTGCCACACAGACAGGCCAGTGCTGTGGTTTCACAACAACTTTAGGCCAGCCTAGCTGGCAAAAGAAATCCTGCCCTCCCATCAGCTCGAGCACTGGAGCAACGAACCGGATCACTGTTAAGACGGGGGCGGGGGGTGTGGAAAAAACACTTAGGACCCTGAGCCCCTGCTTGCACAAGCATTTTTGCAGTGGACAACAGACCAGAGCTCAACAGCGTCAAAGCACCGTGGCCCTGCAGCACAAGGTTATGGGAACAGGAACAAGGTCCCCGATATGAGCTGCTCCGCAGCAACTGCCCGCTCGTACCCTCCGTCCTCTCCGAGGGAAGCCTCTCCCTTGAAGGCAGAAGAAGCCCGCACAGAGGCTGCCTGCAGAGCAGCCGAGACTGTCTGTTCCCACCTCCGTCAGCCCAAACTCACGCGTCTGACCCTTCAGCACAGTGAGGACCCAGGGAGAACGGCCCGGACATCCCAGCACCTGACCGACGCTGCTCCGGGCTGGTGCGCGCACCAAGGCGGAGAGGATAGGCACCTTTCAAAGGGTTCATCTATCTTGGCACACCGCCTGGCAGCTTGTGCTACTTAGTCACTGATTTCCACCCCGCCACCCACATCCCGCAGCCACCCTGTCTCACCCCTCTACTCAGTGTGGTTTCGATATGGGGCCACAATGAGGAAGCGGTAGCACTAGTGGGGAAGCCTCTCTCCACCCCATTTCCTCTATAGAGGAACGGGGACAGAGAGAAGTACTGAGCACTAGCAGGAGGATCACGTGGCACCCGCCACTGCCCTGAACCCCACTCAACATGCTGAGGTCATGTGAAAACACGAGAGAGTTCATTAAGCCACTGGTCAGCTGCCTCCATCAGTCCGTCCCCACGGACTAGTTACCAGGCAAGCTAGACCCAGGGACCTGCACACCTATGCTGAACCCACATAGCGCAGCACAAGCATCGGTTTGGGGGGTGGGGGGGAAAGCAAGGCAGATTAGCAACAGGCACAAGATAAGCAGGAGACCAATTGACTCATGATCCAAAGCTGCAACTATCAGCCTGCTGCTGGGAGTCCCCAGTACACTAGTTCTGAAAGAACAAGTTTCCTCCAAACAGCCTCTTAGGCCTGTACAAGAACAAAAGCTGAAGAGGAGGTTGTGGCCACCTTGGGAAACTCCAGGACTTTGGTCTAAAGCCTGCAAAGCCAGTCCCTTTCCAACAGCCTCGTGTTGAGACACATTCTTGCACTGTGTGCCAGAGGACGGTTTCCTCCACCAGCCAAGCCCTGTGTCGCACACAGAGCTCTGAAGCTGCCTGAATCACCCAACAGGTTTGGTTTTGTCACCTCATCCAGGCAACACCTGCTGCCTTTTATGGACCCAAACCAGCCTGGTGCTTCCGCCCCTCACTGTCAACAAGGCAGAAATAAGGAAAAACAACAATAGAGCAGGGATTAAGGGGTTTTTTTAGGCCAGGATAAAAGCTCTGCATATCCCTCAAGACAGTATCACCACAATCTTGAGTAAGGGCTCTGCGCTTGCCAGTAGTAAAAGGCCAGACAGTTATGATGGGTTGCTGGGAAGAGAAACCAAGAGATTTAACTAGGACTCTTCCCTAAGGCTACAGGCACCGGTAAACTATTTTGAGGACTCAGCCTTCCAGGCATGATCCAAGCTATGCTACGCTTCGCTGGGCGTCCTAAACCACCCCAATACAAACACAATGGATCGAGGTTTTATCTCTGTGTCAGAAGTTGAAGGAGGGAGAGAAAACAAGGGACGCTTGATTGCAGGCTGGGCTGAAGCATCTGCCTCGGACTCTTAGTCCGTCTTTAGGGAAGGGAGGATCTCGAGGGCTACCGAACCACAAAGATCTGGGCCTGACCTCAGAGTCAGACGGGAGGAGGCTCGCCCCTCCGCAGCAGCCCAGCGGAGCCCAGCAAAGCCGTCCAGCACGCTCCACTAAACAAGCCACTTTCATCCTCCCACCCCTTCCCGGAAGGCTCCTTGCAAAATTCCAACAACTGCTGCACATCGCGAAGGACAGTCATTTGCATGCAACCGAGTCCCAGCCAAGTTCAATCAAGTGTAAAAAAAACACACTCCTTAAGTGCATGAGTAAACAGTCAGAAACAAGTAAGAGAACCTGCCTCAAGTGCCGAGAGCAGGATGGTACAGACAAGGTAACTGGGGAAGCCGAAAACATCCCCCGTTAGGGCTCTTGCTGACATAGCTTTCCACAGCTCTCCTGCTGCACCAGGGAACCCTGCCTCCAGCCGAAAGCTGGGGCCACAGCAGGCCCCGGGGAGCCGTGACGCACAGAAGCATGCACTGCGGGCAGCAGGAGACAGGAGCGAGCCACCACCAAACACTGCGACTGTCCCCAGCTGCTCTCTCCTATCTCCCCACATCCAGAGCAGCGCCCCGGAGAAAAAGAGCAAGACACTGAAACAGAAACCTCAGACTCGAGCAGTAAACACCGGGTATGCGATTCCCACGGTACCTGGGTCCTGGTGGTGCTGAGCTTCAGTATTTCGCTCCCTGCCAAGCTGAGGACAAGCCTGTTTTCAACTCCACATCAAGTGCAGGGCAGCCAAGTAACACCACAGGCAGGACAACAGGTAAGAGACCAAGCAGCAGACGGCTGTACTTCACATACCACCACAACGAGCCACATGCCTAGATGGTCTCAGATGTGCCCAGACTCTGCCCTCTCGCTTCCCAGCGGCCGGGCAGAAGAGCTCTGTGCAAGGCTGGGTGCCACAGCCCCAAGACAAGGGGAAAGGATAATCCCGCCCCTCCAAAAAAAAAGCCCTGCTCCCCCCGCCGTCTCAGGAGTCCCTGCTTTGTCACAGGCTTCGTGCAAGAGCTTGGGCACGGAGCCCTTCCCGGGGAGGGAGGCACCTCCAGGAGATCCACCCCTCTCGCTAACAATCAGAGGAAGCTTTGTTGTCCGGGCTCCCTCACTCAAAGCCCAGGGGCATAGCGGAGATGCCCAGCATCCCTTCTGCAAGGGAGGCAAGCGTGCCTGTGCCTCTCTCTCTCACCGCTGTCCGAGGGCCACCCAAACTTGATTGCGTTTACCCCAAGATAAGCCTCTCCTCCGCAACACTCCCAGAGCCCCCACGTTGCAAGAGAAAGGCAGTATCAGAGAAGGTTATCGACTCCTAGCACAAAAGGCAGCGGACGGTGGGGAGGGAGGAAGCAGATCTCTTGCTAAGTGACAGGGCGGCCAACGGGAGCTGAAGAAAAACAGCCTGCTGAGCCCGGGGCTCCGGGGAACTGACCGTGGCAGGGCTGTTCCCCACCTGGAAGCGTTTCGGTGTCACCTGCCAGCCAGGCGGACACGTCTGGTTTTTAAGATCAGAGCTGTTCTATTCAGGGGACCCGCTGCGGGAGAAGAGGGTGTGAGAGGGGGGGGGGGTGTGCTCCACCCCACATACTTGACCCTCCCTAGGCACAGAAGTCCCCTTCCCCGCGAGAACAAAGGCGCAGACAACCGAGATAGCGGCAGACAGGCGAGCAAGGCAGATAAGAGAGTTTCCAGCTCGCCAGGGCGCTCCCCCACCCCCCTGCCCCGC